GTACAGTAACTATTATACTATAGATAAATATTAGTAACTTCATCAATAATAGCCACTACATCAATCGGAAAGTACACCTGGTCAAAGTATAGACAGTAATACACTGATAATGCTAATAGGAGTCATTAGTGCAGTATTACTGGTAGTTACTATACTAGTGATATTAATAGTGAGTGTATTAGTGTGTAGGAGAAAACAGTTAGGTACTGGAAATACTAAAAGTAATGGTGAAAGAGTTGCAGATGAACATAAAAAAGGTGAACTTTTGAAATAAAGAACACTCACTGATTCATTGTCATTGTATAGATGAAGGGCAGAATGCTTTATCAAATATGTCTGCTAATGCTGCTTATGGTGTTATTGGTGGAAATGAAAGTATGACACCTAAAAGCAGTAATTTTAACAAATTCTTACATAATTAAAATAGATGATGACTATAGTAATCCTGCTTATGGAATCAACACTATAATGACACAAAGTAAAATAATAAGAACTATTATTATAATTTTGATAAATTATAGGTATTAATGATAAACCATTAGTGTATGAGGAACCATTAGTGTACGATGAGCCAAAAACAATGAATAATAAACAAGGGGTAACATTACAATATTATGTTGTAAATAATGATTAGTGAACTATTATGCATTAATCATGGCCACAGCTAATTTCAAATTTATTACTTAAACTCAATACTAAAAGTCTCGGTCATGATAGTGCATTTATTCACTTTATTTTGATTGGCAGGTTATTGTAATGCCAGCACATAATGAAGCATATACACAACAGAAAGAAGAAGAAGAAGAAGACTTGTACATCTAACATATTGACATTGAACATACATTAATGCTCATAGAGCATATGCACAAAATAATGAGTTGCACTAAAATATTGATTGCGTTGTTAGAGTAGATTACTGAGACATTTGCTAAATTTATGATTGCTAGACACTAGTAATTTTGGGTGTGGTAGTCTAATAGTGTACATCCTGTAGATGAACTTGCTGAGTAGCTCATCACAAAGTGTCCAGTATCTTCTTATTCCTATTATTATTGGTTGCTAGTAATGAAGGAGCAACAGGAGGAGGAGTATGTACTGAAGGATTCATGGAATTGAGTCTACTAGTAGCTAAAGCAGCTACACCAGTTGGTTCACTAGCTGGTAATACTTTAGCTGAGGGCAATGAAGCAAGATGGGTCATTAGTTATCATTCATTCAATTGTACTACTGCTGCTGTGACTGAATTTCTTTTTGGAGTTGACGTCAGATCAAAATATGGAAATAGGAACAAGTATCCTAGCATTGAAATGTGGTATTATGATGGTAATTCTGCTTACCAAAAAGTACTTACTCTTCCTATTGTACTGTCTCCTGATAATGTCACTACTAATGGATTGTATCGTTACGTTCTTCCTACTCCTCTTAGTGTCAGTAGCAGTATATACAATCGTTACAGACTAGGAGTGTATCAACCTGAAGATGATTCAAGTGTTGTTAGATTTTACAATGCAACCACTAGCAGCACAGAAACAGTTGGAAGAATAAGAGCAGACTTCATTAGTGAGTCAAGTATCAGAATAACTGGTTCAAATAGAGAAATTGATTTTCAAAACACAAATAATGTCTTTATGCTACGTCTAAACACAGGTATGTATCATTCTACAATATTAATAATATTATGTAATTATAATACTTACAGACTAGGAGTGTATCAGCCTGAAGATGATAGCAGCACAGAAACAGTTGGAAGAATAAGAGCAGACTCCATTAGTGAGTCAAATATCATAATATTTGGTTCAGATAGAGAAATTGATTTAGCACAAACAACTAATGTCTTTATGATGCATCTAATGACAAGTATGTAATCTATGTAAT